ATGTGCCCACAGCAACACTCATTCCCTGCCTTCTGATATTTTGTATTCTATTTCAGTTTTATAAGAATCCTGGCCTTGACTCTCCACAGCTTAGAGTTTATAAAACATGGAACTGGTAGAGTAGGTAACTGACTAGATAAAAGCTGGGAGAAAGCAGAGGGGGTTAAGAGAGAAACCTTCAGCTGGGCATGCCTGCTCGGTGGGCTGAGGCGGGGTGAGCACAGCTTTAAGGCCAGCTCCGGCTATGTGGCGAGTTCAATGCCAGCTTGGACTACATGGTGAGACTTTGTCTCATAACTAACTAAATAAATAAATGTGAAAACCTCAAGCCCACGGCAGCCTACAGTTCTTTTTCTTGGCAGAACCAGGGATTGAACTCAGGCCCTTGCACTTGCCAGGCAAGCACTTTTTCTACTGAGCCATCTCCAAGGCCCCAGCCTACAGTTCTTGAGTTTGCAGTTTCATGATTTCTTTTCTTTCTTTTTTTTTTTTTTTTTAAATATTTATTTATTTGGCACACGGCACTCAGTGCTGGAGATTGATCCTGGGTCCTTGCACTTGCCAGGCAGGCGCTTAGACCACCAAGCTACCTCCCCAGCCCCCCATGATTTCTTGAGAAGAGTTCATCAAGTCTCTTACGGAGAGATTTGCACAATTACGTAAGTTTGGGGTCAGCCATGCCCACCTAGGGGACTTAAAGGGGACCAAAAAGGGACCCAGTTAGATCTCATTAATACATGTGTACATTGTGGTTTTTGACCCTCCTTGCTGGGAGAGACACCAACGTGCAAGCTCCCTTTGTAGGGATGGGTAGAGTTCCACTGCCGATCAGAGAAAGCCCGTTAGGGACAACCCTCCCTCTCTCCCCAAAGCTGGACAAGTATACAAAGAAAGCCCACTCTGGCCCTCAAGGCAGTTGCGAGCTCTGGCTGTGTTCATGCTGCTTTTTTGAAAATGTACTACCCTTAATAAATCACTTGGCTTATAGAGCATTGTGCTTGTCACCCAGGAAAGTTGCCTGCTGACTGTTCCCTTGCTGCGAATCTTGGGGAGGACCCAAGAACCGATACAGCAGACACAAGGCAGGTCACAGCCCCCACAACCAAAGTTGCAGTAATAGAAATAAATGTTAGAGCTACTTTTATTTTTGTCTAACAGGAATGATACTCATTTTTTTTTTAGAACTTGGACTTCTTTATACTTGGGGCAGTTTTTCATACTCTTGGTCATCTGGATCTGCTTTTCAAATTGAATGTTTGTTTTCCCCTGTGTAATTGTTCTTTCTTGCTTTCTTGCTCTCTTTCCCCCTCTCTCCCTCCTTCTTCTTCTCCCTCTCTCTCTCTGTCTCCCTCTCTCTCCCTTCCCTCCCTCTGTCCCTTCCTTCCTTCCAACAGGGTCTTGCTGAATAGTAGTCCAAGCTGGTCTCAAACACACTGTCCTCCTGCCTTCACCTCTGGAGTGCTGGGCTTATGGGCATACACCACCACACCTGGCCATTACTTTTTTGTTTTAGGTTTTCAGTCTTGGTTAGGAAGTTTTCCCTAAGAGTCTAGGTAACTAGATGAGTCCAATACAAGGTTTGAGACTTTCTCAGCAATAATTTAGGGGCTGGGGATTTAGCTCAGTGGTGCAGCACTTGCCTGGCAAGCATGAGATCTTGAGTTTGAGTCCCAGTACCACCCCCTGCCAGAAAATAATCCCAATAATGTATTGTTAGTGATTTAAGAAAAATTCATTTCTTATGGCTATCACCTTTACCAGAGATAGATGAATTTGCATAGGAATCACAGACCGAATAATTTGAGAAGTGTTTCAGGACTAGCCCCCATAACAGAAGCTACACCATGTGGAAAGATTTGTCTACCTAAGGGCCCCTGCAGAGGTTTCCAGAGATACAAAGCTGCACATTAAACGTTTGTTTTCGTCTTCCCTTGAAAGCTGTAATTCCTGGCCTTTGGGGGCTACACTGTCTGCCGGCCACATTTGGTCAGAATGCCGTCCACTCATCCACAGGCGCAGCATACGTTCCCCAATTTTCAGCCCCATGGGCCCCTTTTCTCCTCGCACTGTGCTGGGAGTTTTTCAAGGTGCCTGCACTCCTGCTTTCTTTTTCTTTCTTGTTTTTTTTCTTTATTATTTTTTTGGCTGGCTGAGCCCACCCTGCCCACCGAACTGTGGTCCCCTGCGGCTGCCTGAGCTTGCCTAAGCAGGCATGTTAGACTGCTGAGCTATCTCACCAGCCCCTGCTCTCCTGCGTTCTTACAGCACAGTGAGGGATATGTAGTCGTTCTCACACTAATGACACAAAATGGGGCCCACCAGATCTCTGAGATACTAGGGTTGCTGGGGGAGCTGGCTTTTGGGGGTGTGTGAGTTTGTGTGCCAGCCTCTGGGGCTTGGGGAGTGAACGCCTAAGGAGCCCTGCAAAAGTTACTGCCGGCTGCCTGATTCCAGTCCCTGGGTCACTGGGTCCCTGCGCAGCCTTTGATCTGACACCTGGTTTTGAGACTGCCTGATTCTGTTTCTCTCCTGAGGGTTTCGTCTCTGTTGTCCTCTCCTGCCATCCCTGAGTTGGTTGTTCTCATACTGAGATCCCAGATTCTTTGACTGTAATCGCACCTGAGCCCTCTGCATATTAAGGTCCGACCTGGACTCTGGCCTGAGTTCTCAACTTCTTACTCTTGAAGCCAGAGCCGGTTCTCAGCACAGGCAGCTCCAGAGCAGCTTCTCCAGGTGTCACAGTCATCCGTGACACCTCCCCCACCCCCTATCTAAGGGACTGTCCCCTGAGCCAGCCCATAGCCCCAGCCCTCTTCCCAGCCCCTTCCTTTCCTGTGTGTTACCACATTCTGGTAGTTTAGCGTTCTGGCTGAGATCAAATCTGGCCCCTCCTCTCTCTACACTGACCTTTCAGGACTTCGTTATCTTTTAACCAGAAGGTTGCAGTGGCCTCCTTCTAACTGGTCTCCCTGCCTACAGTCTTGCCTCCAGCAAAGCCATCCTCCAATCCTGATGCCAGAGTGATCTGAAATGCAGATATGATTTTGCCACTCCCCTGCTTAAAACCCACCAACTGCAGTGCTTCTGTAACCACAGGGTAGCCTCTGAGGTGGGTTCAAAGTAAGTTGTCACTACTACCACTACTGCCACTGTTAGCACTCCCGTTGCTACTAATACAGACACTAACAATAGTAGCTAACATTTATTGAGCTTTTTCCATTACACTCCAACTGCTTTGTCATCATTTTAGAACAAATCGTAGGCGACTCAGAGTTCTCTGAATGGTACTACTCTTCACTCTCCCAGGTGAAGGAGAGGGGCAGAGTTCTAGGCAGGAGACACCGAAGAAATGTCCCCACCTTAGCTTGTGCCTTGGTGCGTGACCAGGCTCCATGAGCCTTCAGTGTTCTAGGGATAGGCTGGCGATACAGCTCAGTGGCACAGCGCTTGCCTGGCAAGCATGAGGTTGTGAGTTCGATTCCCAGTACCAAAAATGGGGGCTGGTTCTAGGGATTACTATAGTTCTTCGGGACAGAAATTTGCTTTGATGCCTTAGAAAACCGAGAGAGGGGTTGGTTGTCCACCTCTTGAATCTGCCCGTCAAGTCTGTCATGTGTGGGCGTGCCCTTGGGCTCGTGGGCACCCACAAAGGGACATGCAGGCTTGCTGACATTCAGGGAATTACTAATTGTCCAGGCTTCTAGGACTTCCGAGCCAAAACGCATGATCTGGCCCCTACCATCTCTGCTGCCTTGTGCCACTCCTCCTTTGCACTTCTCACGCTACCACCACCAAACTGTGACACTAAGGGTCACTCACCCTTACGGAGGTCTCCTGTGTGCCAAGCCCTGGGCTAAGTGCCTCACCTGGGCCTGCCAGCTACTCATGGAGGGCCAGTTGTATTCTCTCCGTGGTGTTTACTTACTTGTTGCGCTGCTGGCGATGGAGCCTGGAGTAGGTAAGCACTCTCGCGGTGAGCTGCGTCCCAAGCCCGTGCTGTCCTCATTCTATGGAGGGAGAGAGGGGTCTGCACAGTGCTAGCACGGATGGATGGGAGGCAGAGCCTGTTCTTTTTTTTTATTTTGGCAGAACTGGGGACTGAACTCAGGCCCTTGTGTTTGCCAGGCAAGGGCTTATTCTACTGAGCCATCTTCCCCAGAGCCTGTTCTTACACATCCCTCACCGCTGCTCTCCTGCAAGACACTCCCTCTCATGCCTGAAACCTGCCCCCAAGCTGGGCTTAGTGTCCCTGGGATCCCCGCAGTGACGGTGCTCCTGCCCCCAGCATGACCCCGGAATTTGGGGCCTTCCTCCAGTGCTCTTTGAGGTGGATCTGGGTCTCTTGCCTCTCGGGATCCCCGCAGCATGTAGTGCAGTGTCTGGCACCTAACAGGCCTCTGTAAGTGTTTGTGGAGTTGACTAAACTGAGTTCCACATTCTGAGCCGTGAGGTTATTTTCCTGCTGACCAGTTTTCCCTGTCTTCACTCCTAGGCACAAAGCCAGGCTATTTGATCTCGAGAAGGATTCTCTCCCCTCCTGCTTGGCTTCTTTCCACCTGCACCCTTTGACTCGGGGTGGGAACTGCTACCTGATCAGCCACCTTGCCCACACTGTGGACACCTCTGCTGTCTCTAACCTCCTCCCTTCTCCTTGCATTGGCCCCTTCCCTACTCCTCTAAAGCAACTTACTCAGTGTGCTTGTTTATACATACATTTTCTTTGTTTCGAAGTTCCCCACTACCCGCACCCATAAAACTGCTTCTCTGTGTTCCCCAAGTTCCTCTAATCATCAGCCTGTTGGCCTTTTCTCAGAAGTGCGCAGTCCACACCCCTCCCTTATATTTTGCCTTGGGAAGCCCCGTGCTCTTGCCTTAAGACATGAAACATTCCACCAGCCCCTCAGCACAGCGACCCTCTGAGGCCAGCTCCCTGCCCCCGCTACCCTGTGCCCCTCCAGTGCCTCCTGCCCTCACTTCCCAGTCTCCTCCGCTTCTGGCAGCTGTGGGACTCCCAGCCCTGGCTTCTCCTCCATGCTGTATGGAATGAAGATTGCAGATCTGGCCTACGTCAGCAAAACTCAGGTCAGGTTCTTGAGCCTTGACCGCTGGGCCGACGCGCAGTTGCCAGAAAAGCGGGAAATGAAGCTGGAGTCGGATATCAGCCAACACCACAAGTCCCTGCTAGCCACGATCTTTTATGACAGGTGTGTGTGTGTGTGTGTGTGTGTGCGTGCGTGCACGCTTCTGTGCATGTGGGGTGTGGAGGAAAACGATTAGGGGGGTATGGTAAGTGCCCCCCAGGACTGGGGGAAGAGCAGGGAACTGATCTGGGTGGGGTGATTTCCTGAGCGTAGCTGGTACCTTACCAGCCTCTCAACCTTGAAACTCCAAGGACAGCGCGCAGTCCAGGCCCTCTGTCCCTGCCACCCCTTGACTCCTGCTCTCTTCAGGGATCAGTATCTTCACGGGAAGCATGGGGTGGATGTGGAAGTTCAGGGGCCCCATGAAACCCAGGATGGGCAGCTCCTTATCCGCCTGGATTTGAACCACAAGGAGGTGCTGACCTTGAGGCTTCGGAATGGAGGAACCAAGCCTGTTACCCTCACCCACCTCTTCCCACTGTGCTGGACACCCCAGTTTGCCTTCTACAATGACCAGGAACTGCCTTGCCCCCTGGACCCCGGTGAGTGGCTTCCAAAAGAAGGACCTTTCAATGTTTGGGAACTTGCCTTGGGTGGGGCTGGAGCCTGGGACAGCACCCTGCAGCTGTCCAGGGACTCCTGCTTTGGTGTGGGGAGGTATCTGCCCCCGTCCATTCACTCAGCCTTCTCCTCCTCCAGGTGAATGCTATGAGCTCCGAGTCCACTGTAAGACCAGCTTTGTGGGCTACTTCCCGGCCACGGTACTCTGGGAGCTGCTGGGCCCCGTCGAGTTGGATTCAGAGGGAGCTGGCACTTTCTACATTGCCCGCTTCCTGGCCGCTGTGGCGCACAGCCCCCTGGCTACACAGCTGAAGCCTACAGCTCCCTTCAAGCGTGCTCAGATCTCGAGGAACTCCCTGACAACCAATCGGATAGAGGAAGGGGAGAGACCTGACCGGTAAGTATTCCTCCAGCCCCCCCAGGCTGAGCATCTCCTGCTCTCTGCTGGGCCTCAGAGACCAAGGAGAGTGGCAGATCTAAGGAGCAGATGAAAGATTTTTAAATTTTTTTAGTATTTTTACTCTGTGATGTGTGAGCAGGCAGCCCATTTATAAACACCTCTCACTGATTGATTGATTGATTGATTGATTGATTGATTGAGCTTCTGGGTTTAGAACCAGAGCTTCACCCATGCTGGGCAAGGGCTGTACTCCTGAACTCAATCCCCAGCCCTTTGGATTTTATTTTCTTTTCTTTTTTTTTTAATTTATGTATTTAGGGGACAAGGTCTCATTGTGTAGCTCAGGCTGTCGAACTCACTGTATAATCCATGCTGGCCTTGAACTTGTGGCAATCCTCCTGTGTCAGCCTCCCAAGGGGTCTTCCTGCCTCAGCCTCCTATGTAGCTGCCAATTATAGACATGTACCATTGCACCTAGTGTTTTTTTTTTTTTAATTAAATATTACAGTGTTTCTCAAGATAGAACCAGGGGCTTCATGAGTGCTAAGCGTATCTTTACCACTGAGCTGTATCACCAGCCCATTCTTTGTCTTTTTTTTTTCTTTTAACAGCATTATGGAGATAACTGACCATAAAGTTAACTTGTTTTACAAATGCAGTTCAGTAGTTTTTAATGTAATCACAAATGTGTATAACTGTCATCACAGTTTCAAAACATTTCATTATCCCAGAGAAAGACCCTTCCCCTATCAATCACCGTGTGTGCCCCACCCTCAGCCCCTGTCCCTAAGCAGCCGTTCATCATTTTTCCAGCTCCATATTTCCCTGTCCTAGACATTTTGTGTGAATAGACTCATGTATGTAAAACCTAGTACGTGTAGACAGACATCTCCTTTGGCATAGCTAGATGCTCACATTATAATAAATTTCAAAATCAAATCATGAGAGGTGGCTGGGGGCAGTACTCGGGAGGCTGAGGCAGGACAAGTACTACAAATTCAAGGCCAACCTAGGCTGCAGAATGAGACTGTTTCCAAAAACAGCAAAACCAAGCCAGGCATGGTGGTGCACGCCTGTAATCCCTGCACTTGAGAGGCTGAGGCAGGAGGATTACTACAAGTTTTAAGACCAGCCTGGGCTACAAAGCGAGCTCAAGGCCAGCCTGAGCTGCATAGTGAGACAAAAGAAGGCAAACCATGTGTCTTAGTTACCCAGTACCCAAAGACAAAATGCCCAGTACCTGAAGTTAAAGAAAGGCTCACTTAGTTCACTCGTGCTGGAGGTTTCAGTCCATAGATGGCCAGGTCCCCAGGCAGGACAGCGTAGCAGGGGGCCTCGCAGAGGAGCAAGAGCCTGCGGTGTGGTGAGTAGAAGGCAGCAGGCAGTGAGCCAGTCTTCCTTTCCCCTCCCTATCCCCCCCAGGCTGTGAGGCTGTTGATTTCTGTTATCCACACCCAGAGTGTTGCTTTTTTTTTTTTTGTGGAACTGGGGATTGAGTTTATTGAACTCAGGCTCTTGCGCTTGCCAGGCAAGCACTTATTCTACTGAGCTGTCTCCGTGGCCCCTGAACTCCTTTCCTTACACACCCTTAACCCCTGTTTGGCTCACACACCCATGGTGCAGCCATCTCTCAAGAGCGCCACCTAGGAGCTCAGGGGAGACATCTAGGTAAAAGCCATAGCAGCACGCAATCAGACCTTCACAGACCGGCATGCTCTTTTTGTTAACAATGCATATGAATAAAAAATACAAATTGAATTGGGATTGGTGGCAGACACCTGTAATCTCAGGCAGAGGCAGGAGGATCTCCAAGAGTTGGTGACCAGGCTGGGCTGCATAGTGAGTTCAAGGGCAGCCTGAAATCCTGTCCCAAACTTGGAAGGCTATATATCAAAAAGTTAACAGTTGTCTCTGATGATAAGAACATAAATACTTATTTATAAACTATTTTTATTTATTTAATATAATGTGGTTTTATATCATTAAATATATATTTACTGTGTATTAATATACTTAATATATTATTAAATACATTTTAATTGATTAAATGTTAAATATTATATATATATATATTATATATACATTTAATATAACTTCACTTTGCCTTGTAGTGAACACGTATTTCCTATAGAATACCTTTGAACACTGCCAAGTAGCAGGCTTCCTGCAAACAGTAATGACCCAGGCTTGGCAGCAGACGCTGTTTGAGCTGCTGCGCTCCACACCCATAGAGGAGGCTGTCTGCCACCTCGCAGACCTGTTGTAGGCCACCAATGATCCTGCCCCAGCGTCAGGCCCAATCCGAGTGGACAGGTTTCCGTGACTGAGACTGTGTTTCCTCTCCTGCCCAGGGGTAAGGAGTACGACCTGGACCTAAGCCTGCCGCTGGGGACCTACCCCCCACCGCACCGCCTCCGGCTGCTGCTCCCCGACCTTCTGCAGAGAGCAGATGCTGTCACTGCCCCCAAGGCAGTTGCTGAGATCAAGTACATGCCACCCCCAGACCCCACACCCCTCCCTGTCCCCTCGTTGCCTCTGTTTCTGTCCTCAGCCTCCCAGGCGCTGTTCCTTCATTCTCTCCTGCACTGTGTGCTAGGTACAGTTTGAGGTGGACCCATGCAGCAAGGTTCTTGCCTATTCCGGGAGGACAGGGATTCATGCACGTAAAATCTCGCTCTCCTTCTACCCACCTACCTTCTCTTTCCCTGTCTGTTCTTCTGTCCTCTTTCTCTGCTCTCTTTGTCTCTTTCTCCCTCCCTCCCTACCCTATCCTCCCATTTCCTTCTGCACTGCTAGGTATCAAACCTAGGACCTTGCACATTCTAGGCAAGTGCTATACTCTATAATTTCTTTTTTTTTTTTTTTTTTTTTTTTGTGGAACCGGGGATGGAACTCAGACCCTTGTGCTTGCCAAGCAAGCCCTTATTCTACTGAGCCATCTCCCCGTTTTTTTTGCAGAACCAGGGATTGAACTCAGGCCCTTATGCTTGCCAGGGAAGCGCTTATTCCACTGAGCCACCTCCCTGGCCTCTCCCTCTATAATTTCTTAAGCACTTGTCATTTCATGTAGTGATGAGTGCTATGAAGAACTAAACAAATGCTAAATTAAAACTAAAGCAGAGTAAGGGGCTGAGTTTACTGGTTTGTTTTTTGGTTTTTGTTTTTTTGCGGAACCGGGGATTGAACTCAGGCTCTTGCACTTGCTAGGCAAGCGCTTATTCTACTGAGCCATCTCCCTGGCCCCTGAGTTTACTGTTTTGTAGAGGCCAATTAGTTCTAGCCTGTCTGAGGAGGGGACCTCTGAACAGAAACAATTTGCGTTAGGTGAGGGTGTAGATGGTAGGAGGGAGCATGTCAAGTCACTGCTCAGGTGGGGGCGGGGTATACAAGGAAGCAGGAGCCAGAGCTTCCTTCCTTGAGGCCTCTTCTCTACTTGCCTGATCTTCCCTGTGTCCTTCATGCCCTTGTAGTTCCAAGGCTTCCCAGGGGAAAGGGGTCGCTCCCAGGCATAGGGGTTGCCTGAGCCAGCCTCTTCCTGCCCCACCCACCCCACTCCCCAACCATCACTGCTAGAGCCAAGCTGGAGACAAGCCTGAAGTGGAAGAACTATGAGATGAAGTTCCGGCTGCTGCTACACCTGGAGGAGCTGCAGATGGAGCATGATATCCGGCACTATGACCTGGAGTCTGTGCCCATGACCTGGGACCCGGTTGCCTGGAACCCCAGGCTGCTCACACTGCAGGTCAGGGCTCGGATTGGGGGTGGGGGTGGGGCTCCAGTCAGCCAGCCTAGCAGACCAGCAGGACACTTGCTCATTGTAGGGCAAGCCTAGAAAAACATGAAGTGGGTCCTGTCCCAGAGGGTTCAACAAGGAATGTGCATCTTGTGCCCCAAAAGAGGTGGCAGAGGAGGAGCATGGGGTTTTTATCCAGGCCTGGCTACCTATGGTTCTGTGGCCCTGGTCAGTCTCTTAACTGTTCATCCCACCCCTACCCCCAGACTGCTAGTTGAGTCTAGGGCCTTCACACTCAGTTACTGATAGCTCAGCAGCACAGTGCCTGCCTGGCAAACACAAGATCCTGAGTTCAATTCCCAGTACAAAAAAAAAAAAAATTGACCAATTAGGATTTAGCTCAGTGATACAACACCTGCCTGGCAAGTGTGAGATTGTGAGTTTGGGCACCAAGAAAAAAGGAAACTGGATCTTACTAAGTTGCTAAGTTTCCCAAGCTGGGTTCAAGGTTAGCGATCTTCCTGCCTCAGCCTCTCAGAATGCCGTATTACAAGATGTGCTACCACACCCAATCAGACTGTTTTTCTGCCCCTTATTTGAATAGAACAGAGGTGAAAGTATAATTCTTTTCTTTTCTTGGGGGTAACATTCACTTTATTTTTTCTGTACTTTTAGGGAAGGGTCTACAGGGTGTTCAGGGTCTCACTACTAGATTGGACTCATAGTGATTCTCCTGTTTACAGCCTCCCAAGTGCTGGGATTATAGGCACGTGCCACCATACCCAGTCTCAATCGCTGTCTCAGTGTGCCCAGGGGCAGGGTCAGCACGGCAGGCCTGGGAATCAAACCCCTGACCCCTGTGCCTGCTTGCAGGCACTTTAATCTGCTGAGCTATTTGGCTGGCCTGGAAGTGTAATTCTTTTTTTTTTTTTTTTTTTATGAGCAGAATATATTTATTGAGAGAAAGAAAGCTCCTGTCCTGACAGGGACAGGAGGGGGGCCCAAGCGGGTAGTTCCCTGGGAAACTGTCTCTTCCAGGGACTTTTATAGTGTAAAACCATGTGAGGCTAAGATAGAGAGAATGGGAACTCGCTTAGGTGGGCAGGTGGGACAAAACTATGGTCAACCAATGGGATTACATATGGGACAGGGTCTTTTCCTGTTGGGGGTTGGAATGCGGGATAGGGTCTCTTTTCTATTGGAGGTTGGGCTAGTGACTCACTTGGGTCTTTCCAGGTGATGGATACCTATTTAGAATATCAATCCCAGGTGCTACTCATTTAGCATTTGTTTGACCTTTAGGTCTGGTTCACAGCAGGAGCATCCGCCCCTCCCACAGTTGTAAGGCATCTCATTTCTGTGCTGTCTCCTTCTAGGGCCTTGCCCTGTCTGACTGCCTATTAACATTTTTATCTAATTTGGCTACCTATAACATTCCCCCCTCTGAAGATGTAACCTGAACTGCCGTTGGGGAAATATGGGCGATGACCGCTGTGGCTTCTTTACGCTGAAATGGGTCGTACTTGTTGACCAGCAGGCGGATATATTCTTTAGAGGTTTTATCTAAAGGCCCTCCATAAACAAGGCATTTTCCTCATTTTCCTCTTGGGTAGACATATAGCTTTGAGTCTCCGTCCAGTGATCTCAGTGGGAAACTCCAAAATGATACAGGGAGAAAAACTGGTCTCGGGGGGTGACCTCCAGACCATATAGGGAACCTCCAAATGACAGAGAAAAATTATCTCTGGACCTGACATGCCCAAGTTCGTGTTCTCTAAAACCGAAGAATGAATTTTAGGAACAAAAGGAGGTTCTGAGCAGAATATATTTATTGAGAGAAAGAAAGCTCCTGTCCAGACAGAGGGATAGGAGGGGTACCCGAGCAGGTAGTTCCCCCAGAAGTGTAATTCTTAAGAGCCCATTTATGCTCTCAGATTTTTTAACGTGTGCTCATATGCCCAGAATTAACCGCAAGAAGATACTTCTGCACACAAGTACAGGTAGGAAGGGAAAAAAGAAGAGCAATCAAGGAAAGATACCACAGGAAGCGAGGTTTCTTTTGCTTTTTTTATTTTTTTAGGAAGTTAGATTTGAGCAAGATTTTATTTTATTTTATTTTTTTTTTTTTTGGGCTGGGGAGATGGCTCAGTGGAATAAACACTTCCCTGGCAAGTGCAAGGGCCTGAGTTCAATCCCTGGTTCCGCAAAACAAAACAAAACAAAACAAAAAGAACACGGCTTTGATTATTTTATTTTTTTTCTTAAACATTTATTGTGTGTGTGTGTGTGTGTGTGTGTGTGTGTGTGTGTGTATGGCCAGCTCAGCCCACCAGGGGGTGGGGCTGGCTGGCATGTGGTGCTGGGGGATTGAACCGCAGTCCCTGTGCTTTGCTCAGCCTGTTCTTAAGTAGGTGCTTTAGACCACTGAGCCATCTCTCCAGCCCATTGAGCAAGATTTTAAGTCAGAGCAGGGACTGAAGTGGCCATGAGGGCAGCTGGATCAGCCCCTCTGAGCAGCTTAGGAAGTTATTGCCTCCTTCCTCTTTCTTAACTCTAGCCCTATTTGGGGGAGAGAAAGAAGGGTGCAAGGAGACATAATACCCCCGCATCTTGAGTTGGACGGCCAGAACCTCGGGTCTTCAGGGGTCTGGAGAACTTGGCGTAAGAGCTGCCCATGTTCACACCCTGCAGGTTCCTGGCGTGGCTGAGAGCCGTCCCTCAGTGCTACGGGGTGATCACCTGTTCGCCCTTTTGTCCTCTGAAGCACACCGGAAGAACCCTGTCACCTACAAGGGCTTTGTGCACAAGGTGGAGTTGGACAGTGTCAAGTTGAGCTTCCCCACAAGGTAGGGCTGGGGGAGCCCTCAGCTGTCTGAGACCAGGGGAATGGAAGTGTTTCTTCTGTAGACAAGCGACACCCAGGCACAGAGCAGGAAGCTTTTCTTCAGGGCACGCTGGGCTGTGGGAGCAGCTTTCCTCCTAAAGAGCTTTGTGCAGAGGGTTGGAAACAGGTGGAGAGGTGGGAGCGGGTGGCACCCTGGCTTTTTGTTGCCCACACACCTAACTGGAAGGTCCCCAACTCTCCCCCTGCCCAAAGCCTCCTGAACCGCTTTGTGGATGGGCTGACCTTCAAGGTGAACTTCACCTTCAACCGCCAGCCTCTGCGAGCCCAGCACCGAGCCCTGGAGCTGACAGGGCGCTGGCCACTGGGGCCCCTGCTCTTTCCTGTGGCCTCTCGTGGGGTTGCTCTGCTGCCCTCTGATGTGAAGCTCAAGTGAGACTGGCAGGGGGTTTGGGGCTCCTGGGTGTGGACAGGGGAGGGAGGAACCAAAGCCTCTGGGACGCAGGGTGGAGTTTGGATGCCTGGCCCCTCTGTTAGGCTGTTCGACCGGAGTCTGGAGTCGAACCCAGAGCAGCTGCAGGCCATGAAGCACATCGTTATGGGCACCACCCGTCCAGCCCCCTACATCATCTTTGGGCCTCCGGGCACTGGCAAGACTGTCACCTTAGTGGAGGCCATTAAGCAGGTGAGACCTGAGCGTAAGCCCGGCCCCTACATGCTGACTTCCCAGCGCTGAGCACTTCTGGAGGTTCTGATGCCTTACAGGTCCCTGAGTGTTCCCACTTCTGAGCAGCCATTAAATCAGGAAGTGACCAGTTAGGGTCTGTGTAGCTGCTGAGCACAGTTGTGCAGGTTGAACACTGACTCCTGGAGTCACCACTTATTTTAGTCACCATAGACCTGTATTTTTACTGCAGCAGTTACCCAGCAGGGGTGGGGAATCAGAGTGGCCTTTTATGTCCCTACCTGCATCCGTTGTGGGTGGCAAGTGCTGCACGGACCTCGCTGAGTCACCATGCAGTCAGGAAACTGCTTCCCACACCATACTTCTCTGTACCTCAGGTGGTGAAGCACCTGCCCAAAGCCCACATCCTGGCCTGTGCTCCATCCAACTCGGGTGCTGACCTCCTCTGCCAGCGGATCCGCATCCACCTGCCCAACTCCATCTACCGCCTCCTGGCCCCCAGCAGGGACATCCGCATGGTGCCTGAGGACATTAAGGTACCAAGGGACATGCACAAGTGGGTAGACCCAGGCTGGGAAACTGGGAAACCGTTACTTGTTTTGTGACCCCAGGGGGTCTAGGCCCCCTCTGGGTCTGTCTTCTTGGCTATAAAGCATAAAGTATTTGTGGTGGCTCAGAGCCAGAGCAAGGGTAAGAATGGGTACAGCTACACTGATGCCTCTTGTCCCTTCACAATCCACAGCCCTGCTGTAACTGGGACTCCGAGAAGGGGGAGTATATATTTCCTGCCAAGAAGCAGCTGCAGGAATATCGAGTCTTAATTACCACCCTCATCACTGCCAGCAGGTGGGGAGTGTGGGCATATCTGATTGTGAGTATAGGTAAAGGGGTGTGGGCTGGAGAGATGGGGAGAAGGGTCCTGGGCCAGAGTTGAGGGACCCGCATGGGAAAGTATTCAGGTTAGCTGTTGCCTGGCCTGCTGCCTCACAGGTTGGTGTCGGCCGAGTTTCCCATTGATCACTTCACACACATCTTCATTGATGAGGCTGGTCACTGCATGGAGCCTGAGAGTCTGGTGGCCATATCAGGTGAGAAGCTCAAGACGGGTCCAGGCACACCTCCCTCCTGAGGCCTGGGAGGTCCCACTACTCACCTTCTCCCCCATACCACCCTTGCCTCCCAGGACTGATGGAAGTCAAGGAGACCGGCAACCCGGGAGGACAGTTGGTGCTGGCAGGAGATCCTCGGCAGCTGGGTCCTGTGCTGCGTTCTCCACTGACCCAGAAGCACGGGCTTGGATACTCACTGCTGGAGCGGCTGCTCACCTACAACACCCTGTACAAGAAGGGCCCCGCTGGCTATAACCCCCAGTTCATAACCAAGCTGTTGCGCAACTACAGGTACTGCCGTCCCCCCACTTCCACTGCTGCCCAGACCTTCACAGCCTGGGTGGCCCTGGCTGTAGGCTCTGCTCTTCATGCCTGTGCTCAAAGGGTGTGGTGTGGAAAGGCTACCCAGTGGAAGGTCAGAGGACTCCTTCCTGGCCCCATCTCTGCTGCCAGTCTGTGAGACTTGGCAAGTACTTTAGTGCTTGGGCTCATTTATTTGGCTTTCTGTACGTTGAGGGTGTTGGATACTCGGATGTGTCTGGATGGGCCTCAAATGAGGTTTCCAGGGGCCGGGGAGATAGCTCAGTAGAATAAGCGCTTGCCTGGCAAGCACAAGGGCCTGAGTTCAATCCCTAGTTACACACACACACACACACACACACAAATAAAAAGTCAAATGAAGTTTCCAGGCAATCCAAAGAAAAAGAAAAATAAGGGGATTAGGTGTTGTTTTTAGACAGGGTCTCTCCATGTACCCAGACCAGCTTAAACTTCTGGGCTCCAGTGATCTTCGAATCCCAGCCATGCAGGTACCTGAGACTGCAGGGTGTGTCCTGCCTCATAAACTTCTTTTAGTAGATGAGTCAGACACCAGGAATCCTTAGATGAGTATCAGGCTACCACTAAGAATTCAGTGTCAGTTATTATGTCATTGCTTCTTTTTGGATCTTTTGTGTTTTTAAGATAGGTCTTCACTTTGTAGCCCAAGTTGGCCTTGAACTCACAGTGAGCCTCCTGCCTCAGTCTTCCAAGTGCTGAACTCACAGCCTCCTGCCTCAGCCTCCCAACTGCTGAGATTACAGGCTACAGGCGTGCGCCCAGCAACATCTTTTGTGTTTGGCATAACAAATAATAGCAGTAGATACGATGTTGATAATTTGCTTTTGTACTGTCCTAAGAATGAGTTCTTCATTTCTTGGTTTTTAGAAGTAATTTGCAACCAGGTCTGACGGCTCACAAATGATTCCAGCACATGGGACGCTAGGCAGGAAGCTGTAGTGTTTGAGGGCAGCCTGGGCTACATTTTGGCACATTCAAGACCAGTCCATGGGGTCGTGGAGATGGCTCAGTGGAATAAGCACTTCCCTAGCAAGTGGAAGGGCCTGAGTTCAACCCCCAGTTCCGCCAAAAAAAAAAAAAGACCAGTCCAGACTACATAGCAACACTTTGTCTCAAAAACAAAAAGCCAGGCATGGTGGTGCATGCCTATTGTCCCAGTGCTCAGGAAGCTAAGATAGGAGTTTGGCCCTCAAGTTCAAAGCCAAATGGAATACACAGTGTGAGGTCAAGGCCCACCTGAACTTCAATCCCTGGGCCAGACAGGCAATTGAGACTGGGCCTGGTGGCGCACACCTGTAATCCCAGCTCTTGGGAGGCTGTAAACAGGCGGATCACTAGGAGTAGGATCTAGTAGTGAGACACTGAACATCCTGTAGACCCTTCCCTAAAATACAAAAAATTAAAAACTTTAAAAAAAAAAAAGGCAAGAGGATCACATGTTCAAGTCCAACCTGAGCAATTCAGTCAAACTGTCTCAAAAATTTTTACAAAGGGTGGGGCAGCCTGGGTGTGATGGCACATTGCTCTAATCCCAGCACTCTGGAGGCTGAGGCAAGAGGCTTGCTGCAAGTTAGAGGCCAACAAAGCAAGTTCAAGCCCAGTGTGAGGGCTCAGAGCTCAATCCCTAGTGCCACAAATATAAGCCAGAAGGTAATTTGGCTAGGGCCAGGGAGATAGCTCAGTGGTCTAAGTTCCCGCCTGAAGCACTAGGACCTGGGTTGGATCCCCCGACCACATGCTGAGCCAGTCCCACACAGAGCCAGCCACTGAAACCAGGTGTGGTGGCACACACCTGTAATCCCATGCTGAGACAGGAGGATCACTACTGTCTGAGCTGCGTAGTGAGGCCCTGTATCAAATAAGTAAATTTTTAAAATTAATTTGGTTGGCCCATGAACTCCAGCTTTGTAGAAGCACATTTGATTCTGCTCTCTGGTTGCAGAGCTCGGCACTGGCTGGCGTGGCTACCCTTCATGGAGCCAGAGCCAGGACAGTGTATGGCTCCAGGCAGGGTTTTCAGGCAGAAAGCAGTAACTCTGTGCTTTGTCTTGCTCTTCCTCCTGCCTTGCAGGTCACACCCTACCATCCTGGACATTCCTAACCAACTCTACTATGATGGCGAGCTGCAGGCATGTGCAGACGTGGTGGACCGAGAAAGATTCTGCCGCTGGGAAGGTCTGCCTCAAAAGGTAAGGCTGAGCCCTGAGGCTAGGCTCCGGCCTCGGCCCTGAATCCCAGCTTCTCTCCTCACTGAATGTTCAGGGTGGGAGGAAGCTGAGGGGATGCTGTAGGTCCCTTTCCTTGTCTTGCTGGTCTAAGCCTTATTTCCAGGAAGGGTTTGGAGGTGGCGCAGGTAAGGACATTTGGCTGAGCTTTTCCTCTGACCCCATGTCCAGGGGTTTCCCATCATCTTTCATGGCGTAATGGGCAAAGACGAGCGTGAGGGCAACAGCCCCTCCTTCTTCAACCCTGAAGAAGCAGCTACAGTGACTTCCTACCTGAAGCTGCTCCTGGCCCCTTCCTCCAAGAAGGGCAAAGCCCGCCTGAGCCCTCGAAGTGTGGGCGTCATCTCCCCATACCGGAAGCAGGTCAGGCCTTCAGTTCCCAGCTAGTGTGGGACCCCCTTCCTAGGGTGGTGCCTCCCTCATAACCACATAATGAGACCCGAGAGGTGGGCAGAGCAGAGCAGAGCTCCAGGACCCTTGGCTTGTGCTGGCCCCGTATCGCAAAAGGTGTGGCAAGATCAAGGCGGTCCCTTTCCTCTTTGCCCCTCCTTTCCCTTATCTCTTGCCTTATTCCCTCTTGCCTTGGGGTGATGGCTCTAGAGAAAGACACCTTTCCCTTCCTCCAGGTGGAAAAGATCCGTTATTGCATCACTAAACTGGACAAGGAGCTCCGGGGACTGGATGACATCAAGGACTTGAAGGTGACCCACTGCTCCACATTCACCACCTGCCTTCTGTATACCCCTCTCCTCCCCACTTCCAGAGACTTCAGCCTCTGTGCAGCTGCTCCAGTCTGGCCCATGTCCCTGTCACATCCCTGCTTCCTTGGGACAGAACTGGGTCTCTCCCCAAGCCCCTCAGTCCTGGAGGTCACAACTTGTACGCCTGGAATGAGGTCAGAATGGGGTCGGAAGCCTGTGTCTGACAGGGACCTGCATCACAGTGTTCTTGTGATTCCCTGAGGGTGAAGCCCAAGCTCCCTGGTCTCCACCTGTCCTACAATGTCGCCCCCCAACCCTGCATTAGCTGGCTACTTTCTCTCCCTCAGGTGAGGGTTTGCAACACTGGATGCTACTAAAAAACCACCTGGATTGCTTTTAATACTGCCAGAGCCAGGGCCCCACCCAGCCAGTTAACATGGCTCTTAGGGCAGAGCCAGGGCACTGGTATTTTTTTACAGCTCCTCCAGTGATTCAGATTTGCAGCCAGGGTTGCAAGCTTGTACGATTTAGAGGCCTCTGCCTCAGAAATCTGATCCGGAGGTCTGCATTAGGGCTCAGAGCTGTATAGTCTTTACACATTTCCTAAGTGTGTGAGTTACTGTGTTCCCACACCCATGAGTGGCTTCATTCTTGAGCTTCCATTCGCTGTCTCCAGCTGCAGAGGAGTTCCTCAGTACCCTCGCAGCGCACGTTCCCAGGGCCACACTTGTTCCTGTGCTTCCTTCCCTTGTTCCCATCTGCTCTAGGTGGGCTCTGTGGAAGAATTCCAAGGCCAAGAACGCAGCATCATCCTCATCTCCACCGTGCGGAGCAGCCAGAGCTTTGTGCAGCTGGATCTGGACTTTAACCTGGGTTTCCTTAAGAACCCCAAGGTCTGAGAGCTTATGGGTGGCAGGAATTCTTCCTTCTGTCCTCAGGCCTTTCTCTTCTGTGACCCTGCCTTCTTTCTTCCAGAGGTTCAACGTGGCTGTGACCCGGGCCAAAGCCTTGCTCATTGTAGTGGGCAACCCCCTTCTGCTGGGCCATGACCCTGACTGGAAAGTGTGAGCCTTCCCACCCCCAAAACCACAGAACACCCCCAGAATCTTAAGCCCCCACCTAGAACAAGTGCAGCTTTATTAAGCAGCTGCGTATGGGGTGGCTGACCCTTACCCAGGTCCCTCTACCATACTCCCACCCGATACGAGAGTGACTGACATTGGGATAGAACCACCATGGCTCAGAGGTGGTAGGACTGGGGCTGGGCCTCCAGGTCCACTACTACCACCTCTGCCAGGCCTGCTCAGCTCCAAGTGTGCCGATGCCTTTGTACCCCACAGATTCCTGGAGTTCTGTAAGGAAAATGGGGGATACACTGGGTGCCCTTTTCCTGCCAAACTGGACCAGCAGCAGGGACAGAATTTACTCCAAAGTCTGAGCAAGCTCAGCTCTTCTACCTCAGGTATAGCTGGGCAGGGAAGTGATAGGTAGGGATGGTGCCAGGAGGCAAGCAGAAGACAAAGCATACTTCTCTCCTCCAGGGGCTTGTGGTGGAGACTGCTTCCCCCAGGAGCAGGCCAGTGAAGGGTGCCTGTCTCTGCAAGTGGAGCCAGAATGGAGGAATGAGCTCTGAGGACACAGCCGCCCACCCTCTCACACCGTCCGAGCCTTAACCCTCTGCTACCTGACCCTGAACCACAACCCAGTTTAACTGGCCCTCCAAAGGACAGAAGGCTGGGGCAGAGTTTACAACCAAGCCATTCATTCCACCCTTTCTCCTGCTGTGGAGAATCAAGCTGCTAACAGTTGGGGGAGGGGAGAAGAAAAACTGAAAAAAAAAAAAAATCTTGTTCTATACAAAAGCCTCCAGCTCATCGCTTGGCCCCAGCTTCCTGCACACCCAAACTGACCTTGTAGGAGGGTAAGACCGTCACGCCCAGCCCAAGGCCACACCCCCTCATGAAGTACAGAGGAGGAAACCCAGTGGGCTGGAGAGCCACCCACAGGTTTCTAAGTTTAGCCCCTGCTACAGACCACTCCCCTCACCCGCCTCCTAGGCCTGGAGCCAGGCATGACCTCATGCTTAGCTTCGAGACACCACCCTACCACTGTACCCTGCCCCTACAGAATGGGGGACCAGTCTGGCAAAAATTTGGGAATGATGAGACCCTAGGCTTGCAGCCAAGATGGGGACCAGGAAGGAAAGACATGTTGGAACCTGCAACTTTTATTCATGCCCCCAGCCAAGTAAAATCACAAAGGCCCCTACCCTAGACCTGCTCCTGGGAGCCAGAAGTATATAAAGTGCTGGTGTGTGACTATTCTCAGGAAGGCCAAAGGGAGCAGGGGCCCCACCCCTAGACCAAAGCAGCAGGGCCTCTGTTGAAGGACAGGGCACTGGCCTGGTTCCCTGAGGGTCAAAGGAAAGGTGGGGCCATCACCACCTCGGGGCTGGGAGACTCTGCAGTCCTGGGCAGGAGGGAGCTAAAAAGAGTGCCCTCGGCACAAGTCCTAAGGGTGCAATTCGGGTTGGGGCAACACCTTTGTGAGGGGGGCAGGTCAGCGAAGTGAGGGGATCTCAGAGAATAGGGCAGCCCCTCCGGCGCTTATTCTTGCGGACCTGGAGGCCGGCACGCGTAGCCATCTCAAATACCTCCCGAACACCCTCCTTAGTCTTGGCTGAGCATTCAAGGTAGCCAAAAGCACTGATCCGATTTGCCATGTCCCGGCCTTCCTCAGAACGAACAGGCTCCTG